GAAAGGCAAACACTCTACCAACTGAGCTATAGCCCCAGCCCTAAATTGGAAAATCTTTAATAATGTATATAAAGTTGTATAATATTACCAGAGATAGTGTGTTAAGTTAAAGATGTTTACTAAAAACCTTGAAGCAGCCAACAGAATAACATGACAAATATTTATAGCCAATAAAGTAGATAAATTGTGATCACAAAAACTATTCTATCAATCCAAAAGAGGAAAAAAAAAAGAAAAAAGGAACAGATGGGATGAATAGGAAAAAAAGAACAAGGAGAAGAATTAAACCATCCATACTAATAATCATAATAACTATAATAAGTCTAAATGCTCCAATTAAATGGACAATTGTTAGAGTAGATTAAACAATAAAGTCCAAATCATATATCTTCTGCAAGACACCTCTTAAACACAGATAGGTTAAAAGTAAAATGTGGATGGGTATACTATATTATAGTAGATTGGGTAGGGACCTCCAAAAGAGATTTCAATGTTCAAATCCTAGAACCTTTGAATGTCATCTTATTTGGAGAAAGGGTCTTTGTAGATATAAGTAAGTTGAGAATCTTGAGATGAAAATACCTTGGATTACCATTGTGTACCCAAAACTCAATGACATATGTTTGAAAAGTAGGGCAGAATGAGATTAAATAAAGAAAAGAGAAAGAGGCAATATGACTATAGACAGAAACTGTAGTGATGTAGCCAGAAGCCAGAAATATACCAGGAGTCAACAAAGTTTGTAGAGGCAAGGGACAGTCGCTCCTGGATCCTGAGGGCTGCAGCTCTGCCAACATCTTCATTTCAGACCAATGATCTCCCAAACAGAATAAGTTTCTGCTGTTTTAGGCCAATAAATTTGTGATCATTTGTAATAGTAGCCCTCAGAAATTAATATACATGCTTATGCAAACCAGAATTAGAATACCCAAAATGTGAATGCATGTCATACCAATAAACTGCACACACTTAAAAATGGTTAAAATGTTACATGTGTTTTACCACAATTAAAACATTTTAAATATAGGAATGGGGGGGGGCGGTGGCCAGAGACAGAGAGAAAAAGGGAGCAGGAACTGGAGTTGCTATATAAATATCACGCAAAATTTTACAACAAAAAAGTTACTAAGAAACTAGATCATTCCATAATTAGATTAGTAGACGTATTAAGACAACATAACAACCTTGAAGATTACAGAATAAGAGAGCTCCAAAATACATTCAGTTAATTGGTTTTTTATTCAAGGGAACATAGACAAATCTGCAATTACTACAACCCTCTATCAATAACTGGTAAAAGAAGACAGGTAGAAAGAGGACAGAAGTCTTGAATAGCACTATCACCTAATTTGCCTGAATTGGGTTTGTCAAACACTCTACACAACAGCAGGATATTTTTTTTTCATATGTATGTGGAACAATAGCCATGTGGTCCAAAGAACATTTTGTAAACCAAAGAAGCCAGATCATAAAAAAATACATTTCAATGGAGAAAGAATAGTCTTTTTAAATGAATTAACTTGAAATGGATCAATGAACTAAATAGTACAAATGTAATAGAAAATCTTTATGTCTTTGGGTTAAGCAGAGATTTTATATCACCGAAAGCACAATCAGTAAATGAAAAAAGACAAATTGGATTTCATAAAAATTAAAAACTTCTGTACTTCTCATATCCTATAAAGGACTTGTGTTCAAAAAGATTTAAAGATCTCTCACAACTCAGAACAGTCAATTTTTCCAATGTGCAAGACACTTTCACCAAAGACATGTAAATGAAACCCCCCCCCCAAATACTCAATATCATTATTGTTAGGGAAATGGAAATTAAAACCACAATGAAATAGCACTAGTCATTTTGAGTGTTTAAAACTATGCATGACCATAGCAAAAATGCTCTTCAGGATGCTGTTGATGTAAATAAATATGCAAAAAACATATTGCATTATTTAAAGGAGTCTTACCGAAAATTGAAATGGACATAAAAGAGATGGATAAAATGGGAAGCTGGCCAAGTTAATTAAATGAAGTGTTCACACCTGAGTATGAGATAGAATGAGGAGACTCCACTGGAAGGGCATGTAGGACTGGTAAGTGAAAACAAAGAATGCAACGCAATTACAGGGTGGTGATGCAACTACACTGCTTTTTTTTTTTTTTTTTAAGTATTGGGTATTTCTTTTAAAACATTAAATTGTATACTCTATTTATTTTTATGTGGTGCTGAGGATTGAACCCAGTGTCTCACATGTGCTGGGCAAGTGCTCTACAACTGAGCTACAACCCCGACCCCAACTACACTGCTTTTTATATTTTTTCACCTTATAACAATTTATTTTTAATTTGTCCTAATTAGTTACACATGACAGTAGAGTGCATTTTGACACAGCATTCATAAATGACATATAACTCCTTTCTTTTGATTGTATATGATGTAATTATACAGATTATATAATCATATATGGACATAGGGTAATAACGTCTGACTCATTCTACTATCCTTCCTATCCCCTCCTCTCACTGCCTTCTGCCCAAGCCAAAGTTACTCCATTCTTCCCTACCACACCCGCCACATTATGGATCAGTATCCACTTATCAGAGAAAACATTTGGCCTTTGCTTTTTTGGGTTTGGCTTACTTCGCTTAGCATGATATTCTCCAGCTCCATCCATTTACCTGAAAATGCCATAATTTCATTCTTCTTTAAGGCTGAGTAATGTTCCATTGTGTATATACACCATATTTTCTTTATCCATTCATCTGTTGATATATAAAGAACTCAAAGAAACAAATAACCCAATCAATAAATGGGCAAAGGAACAGAACAGGCACTTCACAGAAGAAATATATGAAAAAATGTTCAGCATCTCTAGCAATTGGAGAAATGCAAATCAAAACTACTCTTAGATTTCATCTCATTCTAGTCAAATGGCAATTATCAAGAATAAAAGCAATAATAAGTGTGTTATTAAAGATGTGGGGGAAAAGGTACACTCATACATTGCTGGTGGGACTGAAAATTGGTGTAACCACTTTGGAAAGCAGTGTGGAGATTCCTCAGAAAACTTGGAATGGAACTACCATTTGACCCAGCTGTCACACTCCTTCGTTTATACCCAAAGAACTGAAAATCAGCATAATTCAGTGATATAGCCACATCAATGTTTATAGCAGTTCAATTCACAATACCTAAAGTATGGAACCAACAATTTTTTTTTTAAATCTCACTCTATCTAGCTGTTCTAAGATGGGAATTGTACTTCTGTGTAATGCACAAGACACAATATCCTTATCATTAAATTTGACAGTGTATAAACCATAAAGGAAATTGCAGAGTAGGCTGCAACTTCACCCCACGTAGTAAAACACGGTTGTGCATGAACAGCTCTATAATTCCTTACTTGTTAAATCTAACACCTCTCCCTGGGAATGGGCAAAGGGGAAGTCCTGGTAGGACTAACGTTACTGCTTACTGCTCCCTGGCACAGTAATACTGTTAAATGTCCTTCAAAAGATTTTTGGTTTTGTGTAATATTCAACAAGGAAAAAAAAAACAAAAACTATTTAAACATCAGGAAGTCATTTTCTTGCATGCATAATATTTACTGTGCAATTACTAGTTGGTTATATTTATAAGAAATTAGCATCATTAATGTTTATATGCTGGCCAATTAAATCCTAGAAGTATATATAATTTACCAAAGTAAATAGATTATTTATAGTAAAGCTCTGTTGAATGAAGGAAAATAAAACAATGAGAAAGTCAATAAAAATTACAATGTTTGTAAAACACTTAGTACTGACACTTCATTGAGGAAAAAAAAGAGTGGGAAACAAAAATCTCCATCATATTTGAATATACTTTTTAACACATCAATATGTTTAGATCTATCTTAACCAAATTATAAGTTGTGTTAGCTTTGGATCACTGTGACCAAAATATCCAACAAGAACAACTTAGAAGAGGAAAGGTTTATTTGGCTCTCATGGTTTCAGAGGTCTTAGTCTAAAAACAGCCAATTCCATTGCTCTGGGCCCAAGGTGAGGGCAAAGATCATGGCAGAATGGTGTGGTAGAGAAGCACTGCTCCATTCATGGCATCCAGAAAGCAGAGAGAGAGAAGGGGTTTCAGGGAAGATGAACCCTTCCAGGGCATATCCCCAGTGACTCACTTCCTTCAGGCCTGCCTCAACTGCCTACAGTTACCACTGTGTGAGTCCATTCAAACTAGGATGTACTGATTAGCTCTCATAGTCTAATCAATTCACCTCTGAACATTACAGCATCAACACAAGAGCTTCTGGAGGACACCTGAGATGCAAACTATAACATAGGCAGACAATTTTAGGCTAGTTAGGATTTACTTACTATTTCAAACAGATAAAATTTTTATAGTGTCCATGCATGGAAAACTTTGGGGTCCTATCAAACTTCTGTGGCCCTGGAGCCACATAGACACAGATGTCAATAACCTAAAGTTTACAAAATAAGTAACTTTCAAACTAAATAACTTTCTAATTTGTAGTATGTAAATGAGCAACAAGTTTCTTTTAAAGCAATTCTCTTCCCACTATAAATTATAATCCAAATTAAAATCAGTTCAAAGTTAAGGGGTTTTAGTATACATACTGACTGGTTATATTCTTATAATTTCCCTAGAGAAGCTCATTTACCTCTCTGGATGCTTTAGCCAGTGAAGGATACAAATTAGTACATTATCCATACACATGTGTGGGAATATTTTATGCTCTTCTCATTTTCTAAGTGAATAGATAGAATCTTTGACTTTCAACATGTGTTTTAGTAAAATGCTTTTGCTTATCAATAAAACAGGTAATAATTGATTCCTTTCCTTTTAGGAATATGACTACATTCAAACTAATATAACACTTTAATAGACATGAGTAACAGTATTATAATCATCTTATGACATATTTATTTGTTATATGCATACAGCTATATTAAATAAAAAACAATGAAGAATTTAATAAACAGCTTAGTTATTTGTAATATACATATTTATTTTTAATACAAAGTCAGATTTTAGAAGTTGTACATAGAAAGCAAAAAGCACTTTACATATTCATGATTAGCATTAATATTTCTTTATACTGTACACACTGAAAATGTTTTTATTTACTGATAAGGAATGCCAAGTGTATCCATCACCATTTGAATAGCTTGCAGAGAATTTGTGATTTCTTCTATACTATCTCTTCTTAAAACCCAATCCGGCTTAAGTCTGTTTTAAAAAATAAAAATAAAAATATGGCATTAAGACAGTACATTTCTTAAAAGAGTTAATTTCTTAAAAGAGTTAATTTTTATCTTTATGTGTTAACTAATGTGTTAACTAATTCATGACACATCATTTCTCTTACAACCTTTTCAAAGAGGTGGAAGAACTTCATATTATTGCCAATTATCAATTCTAGAATATTTCCTTATGATACTGGCTTCTTTGAAGCTTATATTACTTATTTTGCTACCATCTTTTGCTCATTGACCATCTCCTAATTATGAACTTGCTCTTGGACTTCCCCCAACTCCTGCTACCATTCTCATTAATATCAACATCCATATGGCTAAAAACCCAACAGCATTCTCAGTTTTTGCAACCCTTTCCATCCATTCTTTCTTAACCAATCCTTTCTCACATAGTTTACATTCTAGACTTTATCACCACTTCTGATTTATCCATGTTATCTGCTTTAATACAGTCACTGAACCAATTCCTCCACCCTGCTGAGATCTCTAGTTCACTTGACCTCAACACATACCTATTGTTCATTAGAATGTTATTCTCACTTTCCTCCCTAACTAGTTTAGTTATCCCAATATTATTCCATTCTGTTTCTTTCTCCTATCAAACTTGTCTAGAAAATTCTATTTGGGTTCCAAATTAAATAGAAATATCTTCTTTCTCCATTCCTATACAGATATTGCTAAAGAAACTATACATTTTTATTTTATGTCAAATGGGCATTTGAATTGCCTAGTATGCTTCTGCTCTCCCAGATGACTATTTTATTTCTTTCCTCTTTTCAAATATCCCTTCCATACCCTCTAAGCTACTTCTGAGTTGTTGAGTTTAAAATATCACACCACATTGAGAAAACGGTATCAATCAGGGGAGAGCTCATGTATCTTCTCACACAAATCCCGACTATGTACACTTCCATCTTCTTATTCTTTCTTGTTAAAAATCTAAATGCCTCACCATTGGTTAGTGGTCAAAATGCGGTATGTATCCATACGATGGAAAGGAGTGATATAAAGGAGTGGAATTTCAGTCCATGATCACATTAATTCATCTTTTGGCCTTAAGTGCTATCTACATCCTCAAACCAACAGTACTTCAATTTTTATCTAAAAATTTGTTCTTCTGTTCAACCATAGGCATGATTTTCCAATGGCTTATTTATATTTTCCTTTTATTTATGCTGTAGGTTTCTCAAGCTTATTCAAAACAAAAGCCACACCATGATGCAACACTCCTGCCCACTCTGTGCTATCCTCTCCTCAACTCACCCTCCAGGACTTAAAAATCACATGATGCTTTCTCGGCCATTCTCTTTATCTTAGTAGTTGTCACTATCTTTATTATTTTACTCATTAATCTGTTCGCTCATTGTCATTCTTCCTGAACCACA